TGGGACCAGGGAAAGAGTCGTGGACGCGTCTGTGGAAAACATGGAAAGATTGTCGTAGAGATGAGAACGATGGAAAGGAGAAACGTTCCATGTATCCCTGCCCTCAAAGAGTGACCCTTGATTCAGAGAGGGGTCTCCCATCCCTGACTCTAAGCGCACATGCACGCGTGCACACTGCTTTAAATGAAATCCACCTGTAGTTACATGTTTGCAGTCCTCTGTATGATTCTCCATCTTCTTATTTCCATCGCAAAATAAAAATCTGTCCATATTTTCAAAACCCCCGAAGCAGCCCTTCCGACAGTGGCATGGCAAGATGCAGCATTCACATTATATATTGAAGTCTCCCCTGTTCCCGTCCCTCTCCGCAGGACCAATACATTTTCTGCTATCAAGTGATCCTGTATGTTCTGAAGCGTCTTCAGTCCGAAGAAGAGCAGACAGAGCAGCAGGAGCCTCTGAAGTGACCTGAGAAGAGCAGGCTGCCGGAAGGCCTCCCCTGGTCCCCCAGCAGGGGCGGGGCGCTTGTTCGCCCCTTCCTCACAGTGGCATAGCAGCAAATGCCCTCGGGGTGCTGTCTTTTCACAGCTATGTTCACCTCGGATCTCATGATTAAAAACTATGCAACCCTCACGGAACGACGGCAGTGGACGAAACTGCTTTTTGGTGTAGCTATCTTCGGGATGAGTCAGGCCGCATCTCATTCTAGTGGACATGGGGACAGCAACTCTCCGAGTCTCTTTTTAACGCACCAATCTTGTTTATAGCAACATTCTTTCTCGGTATTTTAATAGAGTTATTTTATAGGGGATACTTGAAGACCAGTATTTAAGCTTTAAGTGACAATACTATGGGCATAGAAAAAAAAGTAGCAAATTTTTACTGTATCAATTTTTAATGTTTACTACATAGAATTTCCTGTAATATATTTATATACTTTTTCATGAAAGCAGAGCTATCAGATATCTGTTTGTAACTGATGTATCATCTCACTTTGTAAATAAAAATACACCTTAAAACGTGAGCAAGCCAAAATGGTGTGCGTGCTCACATTCTCCGTGTGTTCGTAGCTGTAGGTCCTTACCCGCGCCACCTCCAAGTGGAAAGCTGGGGAGACTCTGGTGGGCAGGCTGCCAGGCCTTGGTTTTAACAACACCTGTGCTTGTGTGAAGACGGGGACGTCTGGGTCAACTTTCCGGTTTCCCTGCCAGCCCCAGGAACCAGCAGTGTTGTCAGAAACCCTGGCAGATCTTCTTCAAGGTCTGCTGTGAGGGTGGTGTACTGACTCACCATGGTTAATCGCAGCGTTGGTCGGTCTCCCCTCCTCCTGCCCTGCCAGTGGGGCACCCTTACTGTGCTTTCGCTGATATGCAAGTCAAAATACTCCCCAATCCCTGTCACAAGAGGTGAGCCAAGAAAACACTCATTTATATTTGTTTCTGCCAGAAAGACATCAACCTCAAAGAGCATGCCTCCATTCAGTCCCTTGCTGCAGGGAGTCTGTTTGGACTCATGGCCACCCTATAATAGGACAGAGTAGAATGGCCCCTGTGGATCTTCTAAGTGTCCAATCATTACAGAAGTAGACAGCAGCCTGGGTGTAACACACTACACCACCTTCCTTTGCAAGCAGTGCCATTTTAAGGCTCAGGACACTGCATGGCCCAACTTCAAAATCTGAGCTCGCTGTCTTGCCTTTCTGAACTTTGCTACGTGCAGTGAATTTCTGGAACCTATTCTTGAGTACGTGAAGATCTCTGGAGGGGAAAGGATGAACCATCTGTAGGGAGGTGAAGCCCAACTGCTTCAACCATCAAAGGTCTGAGCTTCACATTGGGAGCAACTCAGAGTCAGGGGAAAAAAGCATCACGACCAACCTTACCTTTTCAATAAGAACAGTTTTTGTGTACATGCTCCGGTCTAGCCCTGGATTTGGTCTGGCCCCTGCCATACTACCTGGACCTCACCCCAGGAATGTTTGTATACAGTAACTTTTTCCCTATGCTCCTTTTGCATTTTTCTAAGCTTAACCTCATTCGCCATATTAAAATGAAAAATTATAATAACCACATTATAATATCAATAGATGCAGAAAAAGCATTTGACAACATCCAACATTCATTCCTGCTAATGTGGCGAATACTACTAATGGTCTTTTGTATATCGAACCATCCCTGCATCCCTGGAATGAATCCCAC